CAAACTCAATTTGATTTGTGTGGTTCAGCCTAATGCTTTCTCTAGACTCACTGTAAGAAAATTTGGCCGTATTTTGACATTATTATCAACTGAAATAGATTTACAATTAAAATACAGTATAACATTTCTTTCCAGTGTAAGACAGCTGGTAATAGGACTTCTCACAGAGTCAGAGGACAAACCTGCCCTTGCAAGTGACTCACCATGGACATCAAACCTCCCAACAACAGCAACTGAGAGAGATGTCTGCAGAGCTCCTAGAGGAAGCCCTCCAAGCTGGGCACTCCTCCTACTTTCATATTCTCAATTGCCTAATTTACTGAGAGGCCCGAATGCTATGTTATACTAATTTTACATAACATAATATTTCTTAATCCATGAGCATTTGTGGAGAGAGCTGTATCTAACTAGCACAGATCTTTCTAAAGTTAGAGAATGCTTCACTAACATATTTGGACTGAATTTTTGACTTACAACCTTAATTACAGACGCCAAAAGTTCTACATTTAAAGGACTTTTATATCAGAAATTGCCAGCTGACTCTCAAGAAATTCCTAGAAATTCTGCTGGAGATGGAATATGATGGAGCTAATCTTGTTGAGTTCCCAAGTAAAACTGGCCAAGGTTTGCAGTAAGTCAGTCTGGGAAAGGAGGATGTCTGCATAAAAAAAATCCTTGCTTCACGTGAGTAGTTATGGTGGTGGTTTTGTGTTTGTTTTCTTGGCAAATGTGGAATTAATACTCTGGTTCTGAAGTAGATTGTTAAACCATCTATCAGGATCTATCCTTCTTCCAGGAAAGAGGAGAGGAACAGAAATCAGGCACATTTCTCAGTGAATATATTGAAAATTGAAAAAATAAAAGTCATTTTACCTATTTCTTGTCCAGATTTTTGCAGACATAAGTTACGTAACTAGCCAAGACCATAAGACAATCATGAAACAATGCAAGATCCATCTGTGTGGTAGAACAAAATGCATATTCACTGTATGTGTGAGCACTTACATACTACAGAATCCTGGGTCCTTAATATTTCGTTATCATATGAAATTGAGTAGTTCATGATTTTGAGATTAGAATGGGATTGTAAAAAGATTGGTTGATTAAAGTAGCAATCACAGTAGGAATACAGAGGCCAACACATCATGCAGTAGGAAAGGACACAAAAGTCATTTTTTCATGGCTGAGTATTAATGGTGATTTATTCACATCGAGGTTCGATGATTTCAAGAGTTAAAAATTCAACCAAGTCATCTGAAAATGTCTCAGTGCATTGTGAAAGAAATAGAACTGCCCACCTGGATCCAGACGAGAAGCTGCAAGAGTCTGAAGCACAGTGCCACCACCTTCTGACCTTTCAGCTTCCTATGTGCTACTTCTGGATCCTCCAACAACACTCTGTCTTTGTTCACTTTCAGAGCCCACTTTTTTCCCTTACAATTTGGATTGTTGAATCTCTCTATATTCAAGAAGATAAAGCCGAGGTTTGGATCCATTTGACCATACTAATAGTGAATTTTATTCTGTTTCTGTAAAACTCAAAGGTGAGGGAACATTTAAGTCATTTGCTCCATCTCAGCCCAAACATAAAAGTCTTCTCATGTTAGTTACACCTATGAATGAAATGCATCAGGCACTGATGCTGCAGCCTTTGAATTACTTTAGCAGAAGTTCATCATTTGTATGTGGTTTGAATAGATGGAATCATGGGAGCACCAGAAAGGGCATCAATCTGCCATAGCAGATTTGTAATCATATAAGCCATGCAGGATACAGTCTAACTAGACACTGATAACAGAAAAGTGGCAGAAAATGCCTGTGAGAAGGGAAAAGTGTAAGAGCAGAGGGTAATGATACCATGAAAATGGTGACAAAGAAACACTGGAGGTCTTTTTGGATTATGAATGAATGCTTTGTTTGCTGTCCTCAACATCCTCACTCACAAGTAAATTTTCCCCCAAGCTCTTCATCCCATGATCCCCTTCCTATATTACATGGAGGGCTCCAACTGCACATATGAACTTTTACCTCAGCTCCAAAACAGCTGCAGCAGAGTTCAGTGCCATGGCTGATTTCCCTGTGCCATATTACAGCTCCTCATTCATGAGCTTGGGATCTGAAAATGCACAGGAATGGGGAAGTGGAGAAATAGAGAATGTGGCTTCAACAAGGGAGAGAGCTGCTGTGGCAGTGATAAAGGCAGTGGAAGAGGAGTGGAGGGAGCTCGGTTGTTCTGAGTCTCTGTGGAAAAGATCCTACAGGAATTGTGGTTGTCAGATGAAGCAAAATTAGCACCTGGCTCTGAAATGCAAGGTACATGTTTCTCCAGCCAGCACTGAAACCTCTGTAGTCCAGTAAGTGTATCTGGAAGCCAAAATAGCATCATACAGTTCTGCTTTGAAATATCCATTTCAGTTTTTATTGCAGCAGTTCTCACACATGAAAGGCAGCCTGCTGCTTCTGCAATTAGCACCAATGCAACTATTAGGGACCTAGAGTTCCTCCGTCAATTGTGGAGTTTGCTCATACACACAGACCTACACATGAAAACCCACCAGAAAGCATGCTGCACCTTCCCAACACGTCTACCAACAATTTAAAGCTTTTTTTCTCTTTTTTAAAAATCAGATAATTACCAAGAAGAATGTCTAAACTACTAAAATGTCGATAACCCAAACCACATTTTTGTACAGTTAACTGTTTAGCTTTTGAATTCATAAGACTAACACAGATCTTGATTTGACGTGCTTAACATCAACAAAGGAACTTCCAATGAAGAACAGGCAGGGTCCAAGGAAACCAACATTAACTGCTCCAGAAGAAGGAACTAACAACATTTAAAATAAACAATTCCAAAGTAGCCAGCTTAGAAAGAAACTTCCCTCACAGCCTCAGAGTACTCAGGACTTCCTTGATTTATGACAGTTTATTTCTCTTGCAGAGATGCATTTCAGAGAATTTGTCTGGAATGCTCAGGGAAACTCACGAGAAGAGAGGCGCAGCTCTTACTCAGTATTCGTACACTGTTAAGATTAATTAGCTTCACTTTCCCCAAACACTGCTTTCATCTTAGCTAGCAGACGTGCACATCCTCGTGACTAATACTCACTGGAATCCTTTTCAGAAGACAAAAATACAAATTTCTAGCATCCATCCTAGCTGGGTGGGAACTGAACTGTACATTATCTGCAGAACAGTGTGAATTCCAGCCCAGACAGAAGGGCTGGTTCTGTACTCACTGGCTACCCCTTGTCTGGGCACAGGCACGATGCCTGTCACGGCTTGAAAACCAGCTGAGGACATCTCAAACTACACCTTGTTCTTGGAATAATAACTTATGTATGCTGCCATGGAGAAACAAATATACACATCATTCTTCAATGATGCATAGCTTCGTCATTAATATCAGAATAAAGCGAGTCATCTTTACAGCCACTTGCCTACAGGTAAATGCCTAAAAGAGTGACAGGGTAAGCTGTACTCAGCAGGCTCACTCTTTTACCTCTGAACTTTTAAAGTGATAATATGAACAGCATGAAAACAGAGATGCATAAGGAAGTGTCTAGTCACAGCAGTCAGATTTTTTGGGCACGTCCTATTTAGATATGTCAAGGTCTGACCTTAATGCCTAGTTAAAGTGGGTGATGGAGATTCACAGTTCTCTCAGCGCTGCAGGTTTCAGAATGTCTGAAAGCAGACTCAGAAGCAATGTGGCATCTAATTTACTTGCAAAATCAAAGAATTCCGATTTCAAGGGTTTCATTTAAATGAAAATTCAGATTCTGAAGAAGAAAACAAAACCCACTAAAACAGGAAGGACGGTATTGTGGTTAAGTTTCTAGTACGGGGCTCTGAAGACCTGAATTATGTTCCATTCCTGGCCCTTCTGCAGACTGTCTCACTCTCTGACTTTAAGCAAATCACTGAACCTCTTGGTGCTTCAGTTCCCCTTTTCTATAAATCATGTTGCTGGTTTTGGCAGTTTAGACAATGTGGACAATCTGCTTCATGTAAGAGATACCATTTCCAGTAGAAGCACAAGGGAGGAACTGAGGCTCTAACCCCAAACTGCTAATAGCAATATATGCAACCCTATTCACTTGAATCACTCTTGCCAGAAAACAGCAATCTATTTGGCCTGGAAAAAAACTTAAATTGCTCATAAAAATAACATAAAAAATATATATTCATATCTTCATAAAAATAACAAAATTAGCTGTTTAGACATTCATGTATTAATTCCCACACTGATCACTTGTTTGATATACCAAACTCTAAACACAACACTATTCCAGAGACATGCTGGCCTGCCAATTAATTCAGTTGCACCTAAGAATTACTGCCAGCTTCTAAAAAAATTAGGAATGAAGCTGAAATGGGGAGTGCCTGCTGATTTTCTAATTGTTTCAAGTTCTTTTAGCACTTCATAAAGAAACCTCTGCCTACATTACACTGCTGCTAGCATGGCTAAGGGCATGTTTTCTGAGGAGAAAAAAAACAAAGAAAGTAAAAAAAAAACAAAAAAGGGGGAAACATCATCTGCATAATGTTGCCAACAGACACAGAGCCCTCCCACCTTTAAGCCCACCTTCAGACCCACGCTTTTCCCTCCCTGCCTCCTGACAGACCTCTCCCTGCACCCCATGCACTTCCAGCTAGAGAGAGCAGGCCTTGCTCCTGCTGCAGAAACGTCTAGGGTTTCCTCCGAATTTTGTTTCATTTTCCAAGCCAATGTTTATGAAATAGGAGTCAGGGCTCTTATTTTAAACAAAAGTTGAGTTTGTTCTTTATCTAAATCTTAGGAGCTTTACTGATGAGACCCTTCAGATCGCAAGTGTTACATTCCTGACCTAAGAAAGAACACAATCCTTTTCTTTCACCCTAGACTTTGCCTTTTTTTTTTTTCTCCTGAGACCATCAACATGGAAGAAAGGTACGCTGTAATAAGGAGAAAGACAAAAAGGAGGTCTGAAGTGTTACACAAGGAAGGTTCTACTTACCAATGCCTAATTCACCTTGCCATATGCAGTGAGTGCTCATTAAGCTGAGTATCAGCAGAGATTGCAGTCATTTAACTTTGCAGCAGTGCTTCAAACTTAAGTAACTTCTGGAGGTCTCATTTCCACGAGGGCTCTGCACAGCAGCTCTGCATCGGCTCCAGATTTATGCACTGCCCCCTACTGGGTAAAGGAACCTCATCTTAGCCAAGAGTAATAACTTCATCCAAACCCACTGGAATGGACCTCTTTCCAAGGCCCAGATGGTGGGGCTTTTAAGGGATAGAGGGGGTAAGAAAGAAAATAGAAGGATGAGGATAGAGGCTTGCAAAAGGAAATGTGAGTAGAAAACAATCAAGATATCCTAATAAAGCTGAACTTGTGGGACCATCAAGTCTGAAGTCCCAACTCCTCCTATCCCAAAGTCCTCATTCAAGGTTCTTCGTATGTTATGACTGAGACATGCTTCTCCTGAGCAAGCCATTCTAGGATACATTATGGAGCATCCCAGCCTGCAGTTCACATACAAATGACACCAAACTCCTTGGGCAACAGCCTGATGTGCTTGCCCTTCATTGCCTGTGCTGGTAGGGTGGCTGGGAGCAAACCTACCCAGTGGAGTCCTGTTAACCTCTGAAGCTTTGCAGCTAGATATTATTACCACATTCTTGTTGAATGAGGAAGACTTTTTGGACAGACGCTTTGTCAGCTACTCAGACCATGGCAGCCAGACTGCACGTGCATCCGGAGGAGATGTCTTCCCCTTGTGATCTTACAAAGTCAAAAATTACATGAAAGTGAAACAACTTTCCTGGCACACCTGCGGCAAGCAGCAGCCAACCTCCATCCCACCTGAGAAACACTGGGCTGCGGTATGGCCTGAGGGCCTCAGCGATGGCAGCAGGAAGGCAGCTCAGGTGCTCCAGGGCCTGGCTGGGATTTAAAAGATCTGAGCTGTGGTTTTGGCTCTGATTTACCTTACTGTGACACACAGTCAAGCACTTCCAATCTCTGCTCTTTGGAGGGGAGGCAGAGAACCTGGCCTATGCAGGTGTTAAGCTGTTAAGGTTGGTTGCGCTGTGTTCAAACAGTGTCTTGAACAAAGCAGCCTTTGAATCTACTCACTGGCTGGAGTGCACTACAGCAAAGCAAAGAGCAAAACATTTCTCGCTATTGCATGTTTGAATTCTAAATAAGTTTCAGTTCCACCATTCCTGAATGCTTTTGTTTTACAGAGAAAAGCAGCCCCCACGCACTCATAGTGAACCTCAGCTCAAGTTCAGTTGCTCAGAAATGGTTTGAAAGAGAATTGTGAACACAAAGGGAATCTCTGTGCCCGTTCTTAAAATGTATGATGAGCTCTGCTTCTCCAAATTCATGACAACCGTGCTCTCACATGACAGAACACGAGCAGTAAATTTCAGTGACTAAAGCATCACCAGAAATTTCCAGGCTCACCTACTGTATGCCAGCAGGGCACTCTATCACCATGAGGTTAACTCAGTTTGTGACCACACTGGGTTTTGAAAAGAATACTGAGTCCCAAAGCATGAAATGCATCCCCTCGAAGGGCAACTAATGAGCTCCTTTTGGGTCTTACTCCTTGATCTTCTGACAGAAATATTTCCTTTTCATTGTCACAAAGCATCATAATGACTGCAAGGGGAAATTGTCCTCCCTCTGCTCCTGATGTGAAGCAGTGCGACTGCAGCACACATCTGTCACACTGTGCAGCCCCGTGCTTGGAAGTGACAAATTCATGACTCGATTCCAAAGTCGAGAGGACCCGCTTTCAGGAGTGGATCAACCCCCGGCTGGGGTTTGCAAATCTCCCTGAGGGTGAGCAGCAGCCCCAGCAACCCGCACCAACTGCTGGCGAAGCCAGAAGTACAGCTGGGGATCTGAGCAGTCACTTCTAAATCTGATTGCCCTGCAGAAAACCCCAGGGAAATTCTGCTCTGAGAACTCCAAAACCAGGGCAGCGTAAGGGCGGTCCTCCCAGTCACAGATTTCTCTGAGTGCTTTTATCAATCCACGCTCACGGCTGATCTAAATGCACTCTCCTTCTCGGACATCACATCCTCTCACCCTCCCCGTCCACGCTGACCCACACTAGCTTTGAGAGCAGCCATCACTCGGCACATCCGACATTCCCACGTCGCCTGTCCGCTTTTCCTGCGGCCGTGCCCCACGGCGGGCTCGCGGCCGAACCGAAGACGAGAACACCTCCCACCGGACCGCGGCAAGAGGGGCACCGCGGCCGGTAGTCACGACCGGGGACGGGCATCGGGACGGAGGCTGAGGCGGTGCCGAAGGAGCTGGCGAGGCTCGGCCGTGACTCACGGAAAGTGAAAGTGAAGCAGCGGCCACGTGTTTTCGGGGAAGGGGAGGAGCGGAGAACCGCCACCGCCGCCGCCGCGTTAAATAGCGGCGGCGATGCGCGGGCCCAGCGCGCCGGCGGAGCGGCCCCAGGCAGGGCCCCGGCGCGGAGTGTGCCCAGGCGTCCGCCGGGCACAGCCGTAGCCGCCGCCGGGGCGCGGCCCGAGCCCATGCTGCGCGCTCCGGGGACGGCCGTCAGCCGCCGAGCTCCGGGCGAAGGTAAGGGAGGGTCGCGAGTTCGGAGCGCGCCTGGGAGAAGTCGCGCTGCGGGGGTCCCGGATCGTTGCGGTGGATTGGCTTCGGTTGGATTCCCATTCTCCCGCGCACAAGACGGAGCTTTCGTGCTCCGCGGAACGTAGCGAAAACCAGCGCCGCGAACCACCGCTGGGAGCGGAGCAGCCCCGCTCGCGGGGACGGGACCGGGCGGCCCCCGCCAGCCCCTGCCTACCCGGGGCTCCGCGACGGGACGGCCGCAGCGCTGCTCGCATCCCTGCGCCCATACTTTGCTTTTGTGAACTTTAAGTACTGAGCGCTAATCCTGGCCCGCTAATTGGAAAAACTGACATCGGTTTCCTTCTGCTGTGTAAAGAAAGCCCGGTGGTGCTTCCAGCTCGTCATTTGCCAGCAGAAAGGTTTTGCAGCCCTCGTTTCTGTTTTGGGAGGGTAATATGACCTAAATGAAACCAAACATCAAGCTGTTAAATTAGCATGGCTGGGAGCCCAGCTGTGCACTTTCCTTGAAATCTGCTCTAGTACATTACCCTGAACAGCGAGGTGGCCGAGGGATTCGTTTCTGAGAATCCTTCAAGGTTTCTCAACAAGCTGCAGCTGCAGATCTATATCTGACTGTGGGGATAAATCCTAAAATCTATGCTTGCCAGTAAGGTCACGGCAGCCGGCAGAGACGTATCGAACCGTGCTGTCAGAGGCAGGCAGCTCAGGCCAACCTTGTTCCTGGTGCAGCACTGCTAATTCCTTTGAAGTAACACGAGGGATGAATTTAGTCCCTCTGCTGAGAGATATATCAATAGGAAGCAATTTAGATTGGGCCACTTAAAGTGCATGTAATACAAAAAAGAGAGAGAGAGATAGAGACAGAGGAGTAATGCTTCGAGGGTTCACAGAGGTTGATGTGTGTAAGCTGGTGAGGCTGGAGCACTGCCGTCCCAGGGGAAAGTTGGGGGAATGGGAAATTGCCTTTTATGGCTGAGCCTCAGGTTAGCAGGAGAGAAGGACTGATGCCTGGCAGTGCTGCGGCTGCCCCCTCCAGCTGCCTGCAGGCTGTGTCATCCCAACTACACGCCTGGTTGTGGTGCTGTTCACTTGGCAGAGGGGAAGGAAAGGTGGCTGTGAAACCTCCTTGCTTTATCTTCTAAAACTTCCAACTGTGTTGGAGTGGGCGCAGGGGCACTTTCAATGGGAGGTTCCTGCCATCCTGCAGGCCTTGAGATGCTCTGTGGGCTCGCAGCAGGGAAACTGCATTATCCTCAGTAGCTGTTAACAATCCTTGCTAAGTATTTCTGGAGCTTTAGACTTTGTAATAGTAGTAGACCGCTGATCGTGTCCAAAAGTGAGCAGTTGTTTGCCCAGTGCAAATTGGGAAATGAATAATTCATTATTTTATAAAGGTGGGAGGGAGGTGAATGGAGGACTGGGTCATTCAGAGCCTGCGGCTGCTCTTCTCTGGGATCTCACTCAGCATCTCTTTGCTATTTCAGAATAGCTGCTGGAAAGCTGCCCCGCCGTAGCCACTGACGCTATGGAAGACCGCATCCGCTGGCCTAGGCTGTAGGATGGTAGCGCACAGCAAGGTGTCAGCAGACAATGCAGTTGCAGCAGACCCGCGATGTCTACTTGACCCTCCGGCACGGGATCGCTCTCAGGCTCGAGGTTACCGCGGCACAGGCCGGCCTGGCGCGGCGCAGGCACCGAGCAGCACGCACTTCCGAACCTTTCGCTCGCAAGCGGATTTCAGTAGCATCACTAGAGCAAGCAGCCTGCTGGATGCCTGCGGCTTCTACTGGGGACCGCTGACCGTCAGTGCCGCCCACGAGAAGCTGAAGTCTGAGCCCGAGGGCACCTTCCTCATCAGGGACAGCACGCAGAAGAATTGTTTCTTTGCCATCAGTGTTAAGACCGCGACTGGGCCCACCAGCATCCGGATAAACTTTCAGATGGGGCGTTTCAGCCTGGATGGCAGCAAGGAGACCTTTGATTGTCTTTTTAAGCTGCTGGAACATTACTTAAGCTCCCCTAGGAAGGTACTGGTTACCCCTCTGCGCAAAGTCCGTGTGCAGCCCCTGCAGGAGCTCTGCCGGAAGAGCATCGTGAAGACTTTTGGAAGAGAGAACTTGAACCAGATCCCTCTCAATCCTGTTCTAAAGGACTATCTGAGATCTTTCCCGTTTCAGATCTAAATACAGCATTAACTGTATAGAGACATGTGAGAGATGTGTGAAGAAATCCAGCTTCCTGGGTTTTTAAACATGTTTGACAGTGAGCAAACCTATTTTTGTAGCAACTTACTGTATTTTGAAATGCAACTTGAACACTTGACTTCTTATGTTTACAAAAACTGTTTGCACAAACCTGGGGTTTTAAAACCCTGGCATCATTTTTCTGCCATGCAGAATATTTTATTATTTTATAATATTTTTAATGCTATTAACATAATAAACTTTGTTGTGAAATTTTTTAGAAAAGAATAGCATCTCTGTTTTAGTTTTAAGTGTGGTGGTATTTATCCTACCAGCAACCTCTGACTGCTGCTGTGCATCCAAGTGCTGCCCACAGGTGGGTTTCACTGGGCTCTGGCACCTTGCCCTGCTGTGAGTGCTGGCCCAACAGAGGAGTCCTGCCCCAAAAAGCCTCTAATGGAAAGATGCAGGCAAGCAGAAGATGTATGTAGGATGTATAGAATCATAGAATGACTTGGGTTGGAAGGGACTCTGAGAATCATCAAGTTCCAATCCTAGTTCTATCTTAAAGAGCAGGAACAGTGTGCATAGGTTTTGAACCCTTGGCTGAGCTAATGGCTCCAGTGCTGCCTTGTCTTATATCTATTAAAAGAAACAAGCGAGAAAAGGGGGTTGTCTGACACAACCAAACCACATCAGCGTCAGTGAGGGAAAATAAAACTGTTCGAAAATGCCATGTGCATACACACTTTAAACAGTGGTGAGCATAGTATCACTGTGACGCAGTGGATGAATGATTGCTCTCTGTAAGGCGACATGTGCAAGACAGCAGAGATTCAGGCTTCAAAAAGTTTCTTGCCTTACATTCCTGGTGACCTACAGGGCATGGATGTGATCTGTTGAAAGGAATTTGGGACTTAGCTCTTGATAACAGGATGCACAGAGCCTAATCCTATAGATATGCAGCTTTTTTATCTGGTGGCTGAACTGCATTCAGAGAGAGCTGAAATACATCAGGCTGTTTTGTAAAATCACTTGTGGGAAATTGGTGAAGGCACCGTTGCATTTGTGTGCTTACAAAATGTGAAATTAGTGCCTGCACAGAGCAGCAACTGAATGACTGCGATGCTTAGTTTGGCAATACGTGACCTGTGTGATTTAATGATGAAGAGATATCACTTTATCACAAAGCAATTCACCCCTCCCCCAATCATTTCCTGAAATCCATGAAAAATAGACTTAGAAAACCAGCTGAACCAAATCACTTCAAAGAAGACACAGTGTCTTTCACATAAATGTCCTCTATCAGCACAGATCTGCGGTGCTTACAGTAACTGGAAGCAGTAAATGAAGTCATCGCTACAGTTTGTAAGATAAAAGGTCTCTCCCCATACAGTAATTCACGTTCCTTTTAAAGCCACTTTTAGGAAACATTGAGTGTCTGTTACATAGCGTGCCTTACTGAATAATTTGTACAGTATAATTTACAAAGTCAGCTCTTCTATCAGTGGTGATACTTAGCAGTAAGAAAGTTTCCTGCTCAGACATGAGTAAGGATCACTCACAGTGCTTTGGTCATTGTGAAGAAGAGAAAACTGAAGACCGCACAGGCAATATCATATGACTCTTTGCTGTGCTGCTTCCCTAAAAGTGCTTTTTTGGATGTGTCCTGGTCCCTTCTCATCCATCCCTGGCTGAAACTTGTTAGGCTGTGTTTCTGTTACTTCTGCTTAAAGCTGAAATTAGTTGCCAAAAGCTGTATTTTCCCATAGCAGCACGTAAACTGGGGAAGTCATAAAGCCCACGCTATGCAACAGCTATGAACGTAGACTGCCTGAATGCAAACAGCTTTAAGAAGCTGGAAAAAAAGCTTCTGTGGAGTGAAGGCTGCCAAACTGGTTTGCAGTCAGCGGAGATTGTTATCCTGCTCCTTGTGCTCTTTTTCCCAGCCCCATACTGTAGTCTTTAACCTCTCAGCCCCCAGGTGAACGACTCCTGCCTCCCTATAAATAAATCAGTGCCCAGGTGACAGCATCACTGGTAAAGCAAGCACAAAGGGGCATGAAAGGTTCTCCACTGTCCTTGAGACAAACAGAACTAGACCTGGAGAGATGGGAAGTGGCTTCCCAGTGAGGGACATGGATTAAGGGAAAAAGGATTGAGCTCATTTCACTTTCTTCCTGGCAGGAACAAACTTAATTTCTCTCAGAATAGCCTTAGCAGAAATGACCCATATCCTCAAGGTAAAGTGCCTGAATCTCCTCCTTCTGTTTTTAGTTCAAAATGCAAACATGAGACAACCCAGAAAATAAATATAATCAAAGCTATGCTCCAAAGACAAGGGCAAAATTAACTAAAAGGTCATTTGATGGAAAAGGAGATGAAGCTGGCTAGTATGTTTAAACTACTATGGTCTTTCCACCGAACCC